TGATAGAGATCTCAAAATATCAAGAAGTATTAATAAATATATTTATAGTTAACATAAAATGAAGTTTTTTTTTATTACTTTATAATTAGGAAATTTTTACTTTAAAAAAGTGATAAGTAAAATAAATCAGACTTTTTTCTCCTTCCATAAGGATGTTTCATTGAGAGCGCCGTCTATAAAAGCGAAACTCTTTGTGACCCTAAATATGTATTGATTTGGAATACAAAAAGTATTCTAAGTTCATTTCATTTATTTATCAAACATTATTTTTCTTCGTTTTATTTTAGTGAGTAATTCAATTATGTACTTTATTAGTCATTAATATTTTTAACATTTGTTTTTTTCTAAAAAATACATTAAAATTTTACATCGTTGCTTTTAAAAATTGTGTTTTAACTTTTAAAAAATAATCATTATTAATGTATTTTAAATATTCTAATGTGTAATGTGTATCCAGTTTAATTATTATTATATTAATAATCAATGTATTGATGAACACAGTTATACAGATGAATCAGTATTATTATCTGTTTATATTTATCATTTTTTTTATTCTCAACCTTTGAATTTAAAATTCTTTGTCAGATGTTTGATTTTATTTGATAACTTCCACAAATTTATTATAGAATAAATATTATATTATTTTAGAAACAATGATGAAAAATTAATAAATCAAATACTGTGTCTGATATAATAGAAACATATATAACTTATTTGACACTACTATCAAAATAATACAATCATTTATTCGTGTTGAAACATTATTCAAACAATTAATGTGTTATTGTTTGTATTGACGAAAATAAAACGTGTGATAAAATGCATGTCTTTTAATTAAATCTACTAAATTATCATAACTTAATTAATAATATTTTCTATTTTAATTAACTGATTGTATTCTTTTGGTACACTCAATTTGTTTTTATACATAAAATAAAAAAAGCTATATTATACTATATTTCTTTACACCATATTTTTAAAATCTATATTTACTAGTAAAATAGTCAAAGCATACAATTCAATTTTATTTCACATTGTGTACGTGCTTATGCCAACGTAATAGTTATTGCAATTTTTATAGCCATAAAATATGGTTAAACTAGACATAAGATGTCTAGTATAGAAGTGTATATTATAATCTCCTTTAAACATTACTCTAAATAATAAAAGTCAAAATATTAGGGTTTTTTTTTTTTTTTTTGAATAATTTTTGTTTATAATTCAAAAGATTAAGTATAATAAAAAAAATTGATAAAATAGTTATACTCTTAAAGAATACATATACATAAAATTATAATTACTCAATGTAACTAGATATTTATTTTCCCACAATATTGAAGACGTTTGTTAAGGAGATATTGTAAATTAAAAATAGTTCATATTAAAAAATTATTTTATATTACAAGGGCATGATGATCTCTAGTATGCAACTATTTAAGTATTATTAATTATTAATTATCAATTTATCTATTATGTTAAAAATTAGATTATAAAAATTAATAAATTATTTAAGGTCAATGAAAAATGTGTTTTCTAATTTATTATATAACGATTACAATATAATCATAATCTAATTTTACTTAATTATATGAAATTATTTTATATTTAAATTATAAGAAGCAAACTTTGTCATAAGCAAAATTAATTTCAAACTGTAGACTTTAGTCTTAAGTTAGTAGACATACAAATGTTACCATTAATACTGTTGCATTTAATTGTAATTTTATCGTTACTAGAAATATTATTGTCATTAATATAATATTAATAATAATTTATAACTTAATTAGTATTATATTTTAATTGAGTATTCAGAAGAATATTAGTATTATACGTCATATAAAATTCATAGATGAAAGATCAATCTGTCATTTCTATTTTTATAATTTTTTGTTATTTGTACATGAAATGATAAACTGTGTATTGAGTTTAACCAGACACTTGCGCAATTTTATGTTTTACAATAAATAATAAAATTGTTTTTCTAAATCTAATTTTATTTTAAAATACAGAGAATAGTTTCACTTAAATGTAAAATAATCAAGTGCCTCTTGTCAATGTATTGATGGAAATAATTTTCCCGTCATCAATTTTACGTTATCAACTAGATTTACTTTACAAACTCTGTCTTTTTAAGAAATAATACTGTTCATATTTTACAGTTACTTAACGGTCGCTTTTTATTTTTTGTTAATTTGTTATTTATATTAAAATTATTACCGTTACAATAATAATTATTTAGTTCAGTCATAGATAAATATTAATCAATATTTTTTGTTTAATGCGCAATATTTATTTGGCTAATGCATTTATGCATTGTTTTGTATGTTCCTATAAACTTTAATCCATGATCTCAGTGTAATTGGAATATCACTAAGGATTGAAATAACCCACAAAGGAATGCAGTAAAACGATATCAAAATGAATCATAACTTTTTTAAATAGGTAATTTAAAATTATTATGAACAAAATAGAATTATTTTCAAAATTTCTATTTTAAAAATGTCAACTTACATATTTTATTATTTCAAATTTTTATTATATTTTGTTGTATCTATATTCTAAGTATGAGTCAACATGCTTAGATATATCTAACATAAATAACACATAAATTCATACTTGATTACACAATTTATTGTAATTTAAATAATACAAATTAAAGAAAAAACAGCAAATTTTTATGACACGTCATCATGCTACGATTATCAGTTATTTTTTTTTCATATTATCGATAAATAATTTAAAATGTGTAACATTTAATTATGAAATATATTGAAATATAATAAATTTGTTTGTTGTTTTTTCAGAAAGATCAGATTTTTTAGATAATTTTTTTAAATTTAATTAGTCAGCAAAATAAATATTTATTTAAATAATATTAATAAAATTTTATTTTGTGGAGTTCACATAAGGACGGTTTAGGAGGATACACTAAAATGATTTTATACGTCTGCTTTTTTTTAATTATCACATAAAACAACTCTGCATAGCAGTTCATGTCGTATTATGAATGAAAATTGTTATTTTGTAATTTTTTCTGTTAAAAAAGGATGTTAAGAAGACATCATTATTTTTTGGAAAAAATATCGACTTATTAAAATCCTAATAACTACAAATATATAAGGAATTTTATTAAATTTGTTTTGCGCTAGTAAAATTTATATTTTTTTATACAGAGTAATTTATTAATGCGTGAAGTTATTACAACTGTCTCACATTTAGAATAATGTGTAAATTGATATTTTGTACATTCCATCAAGTGTAATAAACGAGTACTTGCTGTTATTATATTAAAAAAATTGGTTAAATAAATTACGGTTAATAATTATACTACAACAAATATTTTGTGATAAATTATTTTAGTTGTATTAATTAAGAGAGTGTAGAAATTATATAGGAATTCATAATGGGGAGAGAGACATAAATGAATATTTTAAATTAACAAGGTACCACGAAAATTTGTTTACTTATTTTGAGCAAATATAAAAAATTTATAAAATAGATCGAATATAAAACAAAAAGAAAAAAATTGTATCTTCATCATATAAATATTTTTGTTCTTTGATGATCTATATGTCTCACTCTTAATTACAACGTTGCATACCTTAAAATGAAATATTCCAATTTTATGTATTAGATACATAAATAGTAGCTATTATAAACACTTCATAATTTCCAAATTATTGCCATATTCATTTCTTTCGTCAAAATCAATAGCTTATTTTTTATTTGAATATATTATAAATTTATAAAAACATTATAAATAAACAAAGCTATTGCACTACAATTGCAAACGCTCATGAGATTCTACTAATCAATATCATACACAAATGCTTTGCGTATTGTTTTACCCTCCCCAATATTTTTAGAAAATTAATGTATTTAAATCAACATTTGACAGTGCAATTTTACAGATCTCTTATATTTTATGATTATGGTTTTTTTTTTTTACATTTTCAGTATGTTAATTCATCATGCATTGGTAGCAACCATAATATTACTATTAATCACCAGAATTGCCCTAAAATTGTTCAAATTCATCAAAAATTTGAATTTTGTTCATATTTACGTTCTATTTGAAAAAATAAAACTAATGACAACGCCAAATATGAACGTGCGGTCTTAAAAGATGATCTCTCTAAACATTGATAAAAGTATTAATAGAGTCAACAAAGTACAAAAATTTGATAATTTTTTAATAAATCAAATTATATAACATAGTAGTTATTTAAGATTTATAAAAAGATTGTATTAAAAATATTAAAACTTGATTTAAAAATCAATAAAAAAAAAACTAAAATAAGATTTGAAAATAACGCATATCTATCATTTTTTTAAACAATGGAATTTTATTATTATTGAATTCATATTTTCAAGAATAATATAATTTTGTATAAGGTTATTATTACGCATTATGATGTATTTCTTTCCGAAATATCACCAATTTAGTGATAGCATATATCTGCTTTTAAATTCAATAAATAGTTATTTTAAAATAATTTTAAGAAAATTGAAAAATATTTCGTAATTAGTCAACATTTTATATCATATATAACATTGCATTATAAAATTGTTTAGATAAACAAATATACAATTATTATTTAAAAATATATTAATTAGTTTTTATTAAGTCTCCTGAAAATTTTATCAAACATCAGAAACTAGTTATTGTCAAATCAGTAACGATATGTAACATTAACATGTATTATTTTGTTATAAATAAAAAATTGTTATAAATAAAGCTGTATTAACCTTCCAGATATTGCCTCAGAAAAGAGTCATAAAATGAAATTTTTACGATATCAGTTTAGCGATATTTTTAGGTCACACTGTACCAAAATCAGCTGTTACTGTGGTTCGGGTGATGAGGTTACCGATATTTAATTAAAAATTACGATAACTCCTCGGGACCTGCAAAATATTATCATACTATTTACCAAATGCCAATTCTTTATAGCATCTGGTAGTAAAACTAGCCTGTTTCTATTAAAAATCAGCTGTTTAAATATTACTTTGTTGTGATTTATCTGTGAAATTGCAGCTAGTAAATAAAGGCTAAACATTGTTCCAATCGCGGTAGTTTTCAACGAGAGTACTAAAATTTACGATTTTTATGTTAAATCAGTTGAACTGTTATACGTTTTCTATCTTTTTATTGTAAAAATTTTACAATTAAGTGGCATATTTATATATATTATATAAATTTTTCGCTTTTACTTGGTCACCTTGAGAGTAAGTTAAATAGTTTATATCAGCGTATTTGTATGTATTATTCTTCCTTTAGCTGTGACTGCATTAATTGTTCTTTTATTTATTGTACTTTTTGTTAGATCTGTATATTATTAAAGATGTAAGTCCTTAAAAAAAGTTCCGCATCTAAGTCTCTTGTGTACTACTCCCCACTACTTTTTTCTTTTCCCTTTTGTCAAATGTTAATGACTAACTAGCTCATATAATGCGCAGTTAGTTGGTCGATTGGTGGCGTTATTCAAAGATAACCGTGTAGACTCAATATATTCAATCAATTTTCTAAATCCAATTTATTCTAATCTAGAGTTTGTTAGCGTTCGTATTGTTAGTTATTTATATTCGTCTTTTGTAAGTATTGTATTTCCTTAAATATTTATTATTATAAATAGGTATTCATCATTATATCTGATAATTATTTTTTTATTTAAAAAAAATATATATATTTACGTCATTATTAAAGTAGTCCTGTATAAATCGTAAGAGTTTGATATTTGAATATCGTTTCTTGGATTATTTTTTTAGATAATTATTTCATATAGTTGTAATTTTTATTAACTGTATTCTGATTGACTCTATATCATGAATGTGTTATTAGATTTTTTTTTTAATAAAAAATTTTTAAGACAACAAATTTTAATTTTCAATAACAAGCATAAATGTTAAACTCGGTGACAATTCTTAGTTTTACAAGGTTTAAAGGTCATATTTTAATAGTATGTTGTCATAATTTGGAAATACCATTGTATATTCATTTATAGCCATGTTATTTTTATTTAAAAATAGATATTAAATAAATAATACAACCAGATTGACAAAAGTTGCTTTTGCTTACTTTTTTCAAATTTTTTTGTCCAAAAATGAATGATTAAGATAATGTATTTGTAAAGTGTTTATTTTTAACTTTTTATTATGATTTTTTTATTAAATAATGAAGTATGTATATCTTATTATGACATTATTTTTTATGATGTTGGTGTAAAAACTTAATAAGTGTATGAGTTTAATTGTATTATGTTGTTCATGCAATTAAAGTATAATTATAAACTATTTTTTACACTTATATCTCCTTGATTCATCAATGATTATTCAAGACTAATTATTAATTAAAAAAAAAAAATTGCACAATTTGTTTAAAATTCAACAATTGTTAAATTTATATTTGAAACTAGTATAAGTATTAATAATAAATTATTCAATTTGTTTCGTTTTAAAAATAAGTCTTGTAGGTGTCATATTATTATAATTATTCAAAGCTGTTCGGGTAACAAAGAACAAATCAAAATTGACATTTAAAAATGTTAATATCTTATGTAAATTTCTAATTTAATTACAAAAAATCATTATTTTAATTAGACTTTGTAATAAAAATTAGAGGTAAAAATATAATTTATATTTTTTAAATTAATATTTAGAACTTCAATATTATTACTCCAATATGTTTATCATAATTTATCCATTCTGTTAAATATTTTTGAATAATACATGGAATATATTTTTGTGTTGTGTCTTTTATTGAAATATTAAATGATCTTTATTTAATTTTGTAGCATTATGAAGGTCATTTTTGTTTGTTGTATTGCGTTTTGTGCTGTCGGTGCAATTTATTCTTTTAATATAAATGAATTAATTGAAGAAGAATGGAGCTTATTTAAAGTAAATAAAATTGTTTTTCTCATTTAAAATTATAAGTAATTTATAAGTTTATTTTATAGCTTCAATTTAAAAAATTATATAATGATGTTGTTGAAGAAAAATTCCGTAGAAAAATATACATGGATAATAAGTTAAAAATTGCTAGACATAATCAAATGTATGAAAATGGTGAAGAGACATTCCAAATGGAAATGAACCATTTTGGTGATTTGGTATGAGTAAATATTATTTTTAAATAAATTATACAAATAATATTTTTATTTTATTCTCAATATATTAGATGCAACATGAATATGCTTCTCTTGTCAATGGGTTTTTGGGTAAACGTGTCGGGGGAACTCAAAATTATACTGATGAAGACGCTGTAACATTTTTAAAATCTGAAAATGTAGTTCTTCCTTCAACTGTAGATTGGAGAAAAAAAGGATATGTTACTCCTGTAAAAAATCAAGGCCAATGTGGTTCATGTTGGTCGTTTAGTGCTGTAAGTACTTAATATAGTTTTTTGAAAATAATAACTTGTTATATTAAATTTTGTAGAAAAGAGCAAATATAAGTTAAAGAACAAGTGTTACTTGATAATTTTGGGGGTTTGAAAAAAATGGTGCAAGTCACTTTCAGTAAAATATTTCAAACATAGTTCATTCATGGGTATTTATAATAGCAATAAAATTATGTTATAAAGCAATATTATTGTACTATCAAAATCTACATTCATATGAGATCAAAATATTTCAAAAAACTCTTGAAATATAATAAAAATTGACATACACTACTTACACCCTAACCTTCATAATTATTACTAATGATTTTGATTAAAATATATTATTTTTCAGACTGGTGCTTTAGAAGGTCAACATTTCCGTAAAACTGGTGTATTGGTATCTCTTAGTGAACAAAATCTTATTGACTGTTCTGGAAAGTATGGCAACAATGGATGTGAAGGTGGTCTTATGGATCAAGCTTTCAAATATATCAAAGCCAACAAAGGTCTTGATACTGAAAAATCTTATCCTTATGAAGCTGAAGTAAGTCTTGATAAATAGAATATGTTAATTGTTGTGTCTACTTCACATATTTTGTCTTTAGGATGATAAATGCCGTTACAAGGCTGAAAATTCTGGTGCTACAGATAAAGGATTTGTAGACATTCCAGAAGGAGATGAAGAAAGTTTAATGCATGCCTTAGCTACAGTTGGACCAATATCTATTGCAATTGATGCCTCTTCTGAGAAATTCCAGTTCTATAAAAAAGGTGTCTACTATAATCCGCATTGCAGTTCTGAACAATTGGACCATGGTGTCTTAGCTGTAGGTTATGGTACTGATAGTAAAGGAGGAGACTATTGGATTGTTAAGAACTCCTGGGGTACAACATGGGGTGATCATGGCTATGTTTTAATGGCCCGAAATAAAAGTAATAATTGTGGAATTGCATCTAGTGCCAGCTATCCTCTTGTTTAATAGTCTGTACTCTTCTTAAATTCTGACCTTCAATTTTTATCTGTATTAATTATTTTAAACAATATTTTTTTTAAATTTGAATAATATTTTTCGACTGTTTTAATCTCTATAAATTTAAATTAAATTATTTTCTTTTTGCAAATAGTTTAAATAGCCAGTTATGAACTCTCTAAAAATTAGGATAAAATATTATCTGCATTTAAGCTAAGTTCCAGTTCTACTAAGAGTAATTATAAAGTCTAGTACTATTGTACTTTTGTGATATGTATGATGACTGTTCTATAATAACTTAATATTATATAGCTAATTATGTTGATTTATTCTAGTACTTGTAATCAAGTTCCAATTTTCGTAAATTTCATTGTGAAAAATACATCTTAATTATGTTTTCATTATTGTATTAAATAAAATAAGTAGTCTGTAAGTACTAAATAATTATTATGTATGTATATTGTATATTAAAATAAATTACAATTATAATTGTATTAATTTTATTTTAAATTTATATATTTATTAAGTTAAATATATCAAACTTATTATAGATGTTTTTTCTATTCAAATATGTAAGAAATTGAAAGAATTAGTATATTTTTAATATATTATTAAAAACAGCAACAGTTTATCTAATTTAAAATAATTATATTTTTAAAATTTCCTAACTTTACAATTACTTAATTATGTCAGTTAATAATTAATTTTATACAGAACATACAACATCAGTTGATACTTAAAAATACAACAACTGTAGTTCAGTAAAATCGTTATTAATAATAAAATCTGAACTTTTCACTATAATTTGTTTAATGCTTAACCTACAATTATGGTTTTTAATGTACATCGTTACGAGAATTTCAAAAATGTATTTTTTTATAGCTTAAATAAATAACTGACTACATATTTTCTCAGTAAAGAGATATATATGAAGTATTCTAAAATTAATAATTACAATGTACCTAACTATTTTTGAAAGAATTGTGGAAATTCGTATTTTTGTGCAAATGAAAAAAACAAACCTTGATAAAACTGACTTGTAACTTTTAGTATATCTGTCATACTAATTCTTGAATTATTAGCTATGTAATACTTTTTAAGTTCATCCTTTAAACTTTAGGTTTTCTTATATTTTTAATTTAATAAAATGATTGAGTTTTTATTTTAATAGTAAATGACATTTGAATTTTTAATGTAACTTTATTAGATATAAATCTCATGTTTCAAATTAAGAAAATGATTGACCGATAACAATTTTTGAATCAGTAGTTTAGGAGTTCTGCAAATTTCTATACTTTGGTCAGAGGTTTAGCACAAAAGAGAAATGCACAATGATAAAAATAATTTAACTCACACATCACATGTAGTATATATTTCAATGGGCTAATAACTTGGAGTTACTAGTTCAAAAATTGTTATCGACCAGTCATTTTCTTAATTAGATCACTTTCTAACATTAAAGATAGTCTAATATGTATTATATCATTTAAAAAAAATAAAGTTGGCACCATTATAAGGGATAGACCTAAAAAATATTTAATTACTCATATATCGAGAAATATATAATACTGGATAGAAATATACATTTTATTTTAACAGAAATTTAGTGTTCAACGATAATTCAATCATACGGTGTATATATACAAAAATATAAAACTTAAGTAAAAAAATATGTACATTATGACGAAATGTAACAACTTAAAAAATAATACATATAAACTAGATAATTCAAGAAAATGACGGTGATTCCTATCAGTACTGAGATTAATAAAATTAAAAAATTGGATGAATTATTCGCCGCACGCATAAGACAATTTTGAAATCAATTTCAAAATCAAATTTAAATTTGTATAAACCGGTTCTTTATGCATAACATTGTTTACTATAATGTCTACAGACATATATGATTCACATTGTGTGCACGTATTTTTAGATTTCTCTTTGTTATATAATATTAAACTTTATTCTATGTCAATTAAATTGTATAATATTCATGAAAGTCAGTGTATTCCCCTAATACGATATTTTAAAATAAAATAAAATACAAAACCTAGAATTTTAATAGAAAAATAGCATATTTTTGAATACGGTAGCCATTTGCGCATAGAAAATAGGTCGTCGGGACAAATTTTTTTTTTTATTTTATAGTACATAAAATAAGCTTTAATTTGATATATGTTTAAAGGACGCAGTATTTCCGGAACATTTTCAAAAATTAAGTTGAAAAAGTTAGTTTTTGTAAAAAGTTGCTATTTTAAATCCCCTTTGTGAGCAGAATAAGTATTAGATTTTCAAAAAAAATGATATCAAACAAAAGAAATTACCTAAGGTTTCAATATAAAAAAATATTATTTTTATTTGTTAATATTTGAAAATGTTATGGCAGTTTTAAGTATAAAAAACATCCTGATAAAAGGTGATTTTTATCGCAAACATTAAATTTTTTTTAAATTTCGACAGCGATTTGCACATAGAAGATAAGGTGTCGGGACAAATTTTTTTTTTCATTTTATAGTATATAACATAACCTTTGATTTGATATATGTTTAAAGGACGCAGTCTTTCCGGAACATTTTCAAAAGTTCTATGATTTATACAATGTTTCAAATTTTGAACGCCCCCTCTATATGGGGAAATTGTCCAATTTTAATCAAAAGTATGTCAAATGAAAGATATATTTATAATGTATTTAGAAAAAAAAAATTGTGCTGATACTTATATTTTTCGAAAAGTTATAGCATTTTTAAGTTGAAAATTTAAAATCGGAAATTGAAAAATTTAACACAAAAATAGCGTTTTTTTAACTACGGCAGCCGTTTGCATGCAGAAGATATGTCGTAGGGACAAATTTTTAATATTTTTATTTTATAGTACATAAAATAAGCTTTAATTTGATATATGTTTAAAGGACGCAGTATTTCCGGAACATTTTCAAAAATTAAGTTGAAAAAGTTAGTTTTTGTAAAAAAGTTGCTATTTTAAATCCCCCCCATGAGCAGGTTAAGTGTTAGATTTTCAACAAAATGATATCAAATGAAAGGGAAATATCTAAGGTTTTAGTAGAAAAAAAATTATGTTGATTTGTTGATTTTTGAAAAAGTTATGGAAGTTTTAAGAAAAAAAAGTGAAAAAAATGACAAAATTTACCGATTTTTAAATTTGTAATTTTTTTGGATATTTCCCCTATTTTTGGGGAACGTGGGAATTTTTTTCAATTTTTAAGGGTAATGTCTCCAACTAGATACGATTTGTGATCTTTTGACGTACTTTTGAAAGAAATCGGTCCAGTGAGAGCTGAGAAAAAGTGGCAACAGACATAAAAAAAAAATAGATCATAGTAAAATTAACACCTTCTCAGCTTCGCATCGAAGCTAAAAATAGCTTAATGGGGTCAAAGCATACATAATTGAGGTAAGTATACATGATATATAACAGTGATTAACATAATAACTATAAAACCACTATAAGAAAAAAAAACTGCAATGTGAATGTGTTTAATGTTATAATTATTTTATAATATTTTCAACAATTGTAGGATGGTTTTTTTTTTTAATATTTAAGTAATGTTTTTTAGCTTTATTTGATACAAATTAAAATATGGCACATGTTCCAGAACTTTTCAAAAATTTAGTTGAAAATTTTATTATTTCCTAGCTTAGGAGATTTATTTAAACCATATCTGTACTTAGGTCTTTATTGAATTTAATGTATAGCAACCAAAACAAAGCTTATTTTCTTTAGTTTAATGTATCCAAATTTTAAAGGATCAATTTAAAAAAAACACTAAAATAATATGCTTTATAATGGGTAAAGTTTATGAGTACTGGATTTGTTTTATATAATCACTTAATATTAACTAAGAAAAAAATGGCTTTATACTCTTTGAAATTGAAACAATCAAGATGATCGATTTTTAGTCATTCAATTTTGCCTCCATGTAAATAATAGTTCCAGCGCTCCTGGATTCATAAGAGATCTATTTATTTTATCATAGATTTTGACATCTTATATTAAACTTGTAAAAAGTTGACAAAAATTTTTTAAGAAAACCATAGAAGGTGAAAAAGACAATTGAAAAAATACACAGTACTAGACTAAGTATGTAAGAAGTTCTCATGCAAATTTCAACTTGTAAATCCATTCACAGAAGTTGGATAAAATCATAGAATCTTTTTCGCCTTACAGTATAATTTCTCCAAAAAGTATTATTAAAAATATTATAAAAAAATAAAATAATAATAATTTTTAATAAAAAAAATAGTCTCTTTTAAAAATATAAAAAGTCTACCTTCATTTTATTACCAATAGAATATAAAATATTATAATAGTAAATATGTCTACACCAATTTGAAAACGTCTAAAGTATTATTAGTGTCAATATATGTATCTAATGATAAAAACATGATTTTAAGATAAACTCATATAACAGATTTTAAATATTCAGGTTGAATTATATTTAATAAACTCGCTCAAATTCTTACAGCTTGAAAAGGATCTCTGACACTTTTGACTGAGAAACCTACTTTCGGAAATTGTCAAGTAGTTCCAAAAAGCGTTGTCCTTTACGTTTATTAATAATAAAAACGAATACTCTTATAACTGGATGTAATACATCAATTACGCCATTAAGGTTATTGGTCATTTTTAATAATTTAACGACATAAGTGATCAATAAAATAATGAATATAAATTCATTATTCTAAAAACATTTAGGTAACACTGTACTAATTAAAATTTTGTACTTATTATTATAGCCTGTTTTTACATCCTCTAGATAACATTCCAATGACAATAAACCGTTTACCTCATTAACAGATTCATTTCACCCCATTGAAAGATTTATTTCATCCCATTTATTCAAAAGATAAATTCGTATTTGATCGGTATCTACAAACAAGAAAACAATTGATAAATCGACAGTTATCATTGCCAAAATAATATGTAGTTTATTACAATTTCAATATAAAATTATGTTATTTTACGCTTATCGTAAACAATAAATGTATATAAATCTAATAAAAATAAAACATAAAAAAAATGTATATAAAAATACACATTTTAGTCTTAACTTATATTTTAAAATATGATTTACAAATCATTTAAATCTTACTAAGAAAAATAAAGTTATTATTTGGGGAATAACCTTAAAGAGTTATGCTGATTAAATATATTATTAAAATCAATAATAGTTCCTATTTATTTAATTTTATCATGATTAGTAGTTCATTGATTATATGCATAAGTTATATATGTAAGTATTATATGAATAAGTACTAATTACAATAATAAAAATTTAGTAATTAATAATCTAATAATGAATTTTTTACGGAGAAAT